AAATATAGAGCAACGTACAATAATCGATATGCCATACGTTTTTGATATTTATTACTTAGGGCAACGATGGGGAAAATAGTGAAATTTGTATAGGCAGTGGAACAACCGGTGGCATTTGTTGACAATTATTCATTCTTTTGTCAAGAATGTTTTTTTTTTATATACATCTGCGACGACTGACTACGCAAATAAGAAATTGTACGCCTTGGGGTAGGTTGATGGTGCAAAATATTTTTACCGTATTGTAGAATTTATTACCTACATTTTTGTACCTATATAACTTAATAATGGTTGTAACAGCGAGTCATTGCAAAACTATCTTTTTTGTAATTAAATGGGTGACAAAAAAAATAAGACCTTTCACAGTCTACACGACTAATTGGTATAGAGAATGCTGAATAAAGCATTTTGTACAATTTAGGAATTATCAATTGCTAAAGGGGATTGAACGCGGGCGGTTTTAAGTACCTTATCAGCTGCAGATTTAAGCTAAAAGGCAGCATAGTGGGGTCACAGGTTTTCTAAGAATGATTACAACTTAAAGTGAATTTATTACATTTAAATAAACGTTTCGATGCGAATCTCTAGATGATAAAATATACAATTAGGTAGAGTTATTTATTTTAGCTTCGAGGCAAAGCGAGAAGGTATTGGTTTTACTCTGATGTGGGCTTTTTTTTCGCTGTATACACTGTAACTTTTTTAATACTAGACCAATTCCTTCGAATAGCAACTCTATAAATCACAAATTTTGTCTAGTTTGTACTTTGTGGGGGTAAAAGTTGAAAAAGTTTAAGTCTTCACAGACGAAAGTTGAAAAAACAAAAAAAAAACCGTACGAGTTTTTAAGTTAGAACTTTTACTGGCTATAGTATCGAGAAAAAGAGTCGGATCGAGTTGAAATGTATAAGAAATATTTATTTGGTATGCCCGCGCACGTCAGTTTTGTCAAATTCAAAATATACCCATTTCCCGCTCCCCTAGGGGGGGTAAAAGTTTTTTTGTTTTTCGGGGTTTTTAGCCGTAATTTTAAAACTTTTGGGTTGAAAATTTGCCAGTAGTTGGAACTCATATGTACCCATAACATATTAAACGGGAAAAAAATTCGGCACTACAGTTTTTTTTTAATTGCCGGGAAACTGTGTTTTCGCAGATTTCGTATATTTTAACAAAAACACCTAAAATCTTTAAAAAAAATTGATCAAATCATTAAAACAATTTTATTTATATCTATGCAGAATGATACTATTAGGTTTTGTGCTCAAGTACCACTCTTGACTTAAAGTTTACACAAAGTTCATTTTTTTTTTTTTTTACTTAAGTTCTTTCCGGATGATTAAAATTGAGAACTAAAAACCCAGTGTACCAGATGTGAGAAACGAACAGACACTAAAAACTATCAGTTGGTAACGTCTATCCGTGTTAGATTAGGTTAGGGCCCAATGAACGGTATCATAATATTGTGTTTATTACATGATATCACAGGCGACTAAATCGTGTGACTGATTATAGTAGACACTCGATTTATTGGGAAAAAAACCTGTCCGTGTACTTATTAAGACACTTAATGATTCTGATACGACAAAACCACTGTCGTTATCTCGTTATTTTATAGCCTGCGTTATATAACCTTACCGAAGGTTAACTATGAGTATTTAATGTCCAACTACCTGCAAATAATGAAGAGGACTGTTGTTTTTTGGATTCAGATTAAGTGTTGGTTTTTATGCAGTATACCGACTCAAAATGTTTTTTTTATTACACAATTTTTTTAAAGGAAAACTAATGTTTTGTGTATTGTTATACTGTTATTCATTTAAAGAGATTCACGCTTGATTGTTTAAATTGTCTAATATTAGATAATCTGCTTCGTGCTAATTTTATTTTTTTAGTTTATCAACTTGTAGCTCTAATTTTGTGTAAAATATTTCATTATTTTATTACTATGTACTATTACTATTAAGATAAATTTTAATAATAATTAAGTCATAAATGATAATACTTTATTTTATGACTAGATCAAATCTCGTGAACATTTAACATCATGATACTGCTCCCATGCTATTATTAAAAAAACACAATTTTTAAAATCTCCATAAAAGGTTATTGTTAAATAACAGGCAACAGCCGACTGCTAGTGGCTATACACGTTAGTAATATTTAACTAATAAGTAATAAATGTAGGTAAAATTTATTGTTTTCTCCATCACAGTACCAGTATACGATTTATTTTAATTTAAATGTAAGAAAATCGATTTTTCTTTAGAAAATAACAAGAAATTATTATACAGGATGAGGCAGTAAAACGACGATTTTCTAATGTATTTAAATGGTAAAACCCGTTTCACTATCCCACCCTTTACATTTTAAGGATCTATGAAAAGGTTTTTTTAGTTGCATTTTATTTTGTACATTGTCAATCTAGTAAAATAGAAGTATAATATAGCTTTGAAATAATATAATCTGTGAAGTATAAATAGTTTGTGTGAGATTGCTTTAATGGAAGTATATAATACATCAATATTAATTTTATTGAGAATAAGCGATCATAATTTAAACTATGGAGTACAAACGATTGAAACATGAATTGTCGACCATTCCAACAAAATATAACAAGACATTGTATATGTGTTATTTGGTCCACTAAGTTTTTGCAAAAAAAAAAAAAAAACCAGTACAGTGAGGTCGGGGCATAGTGGGGACGGAGCATAGTTGGGTCGGGGCATATTGGGGACGGGGAGGTCACAGGTTTACAGGAATTTTTAAATCTGAAAGTGATAAAATCACTTTCGAAAAAACGCTTCGATGCAAATCGGTAGTTAGTATTTTCAAGCCAGTACAGTCCAAACCAAGCACAGTATAAACCAGCAAAGTTAGAAAGTTTTAAATGAAGGTTCTGTATTTACAAATGAGCATCAAAGCGTTTATTTGAAAGGGATTTTATTCAATTTTATCACTTTTATTTATAATAATTCTTGTAGACCTGTGACCTCTCCGTTTCCTCATTGCTTTGATTACATTATGCCAATACTCTACTGTACTAGTTCTGTACTGTATTAGTCAAAAATTGACTAATCTTACGGAACAGAGAAAAATTACTGGTAGCTCAGGATCCAATAGTAATAGTATGGGTGAATTAAGTAAGTGTTGATATAGAGTTGTAATGATTTTTACACCATTATTGAAATGTTTGTTTTCTTAGTTATTAATTTGTTTAAGATATTAACCTTAAATTTAAGAAGATGTTGGTTGTATAAAACCGTCAGCAGAAAAAGAGGAACAAACTAGTATTTCTTTTAAAACAACTATTAAATTAATTTTAGCTTTTGGATTTAAAATGTATAACTGCATTGATAAACAAAATTTTAATACCACCCAACAATTTTTTTTCAAGGTTAAATCATTTATTAATGCTGTACAGTACAGACAACATCCAAAATGTATTAATATTTTATGACTTTTTTAAGTAAAATAGTTTTGTCTTGCCCCATAAACATAAGTGGTAACTAGTAAGCTGAATTTGACCAATTATGAAAAAAATGTATTTTAATTTTTTTAGTTACAAATATAAATGAAGTCTCAATAAGACCGATGTGTCAGTTTATAGCATTGTTCTTGTGTACGAAAACTCCAACACGAGAATTAACTGCTCAAGAAAATGAAAATAATAAAACTTGTACCATAAATTTTCGAAATGTAAGGTACATGAGAGATGTGTTCTAAAAAATCGAAGGCAAATGGTGGCTATTAAGGAAATTTCACGATGATGTTCCAGTAGCAGAACTTAAAGATCAATTACGATAATTTAGACTAGAAATCAATTGTAAAACTCATCTTAAATTCTATAATACTATTGTTATTATATTTAAATAATATTTTCGTTGTTTAATAGTATCCAAGTCGTAAATTACATAATTGTGTATCATACTAAACAGTTTTACTTATTGTTTTAATCACATTTGTTGCTTATGTGTTGTTATAGATACTTTATATTATTATGATATTATACAAGTTTGGTTTGAAGCATTTGGAAAAATAAAATTTGATTTCTTTCTTAGACCCACGTCATGTCCATGTCCTGCTTAACATATTTATTTACCTTCTATTTAGAATTGCTGGAAATGCTAAGTCGTCCTTAAATCGGCTAGAGTGTAAGCTACTTAAATTTTAGGGGACGTTTGAACTTAAACAAAACGTCGCAGCTTGAACTAAAAACAAATAAATTAAAATATTGTTAAAACGTCTTCACGATAAATATTAACGACAATATGAACTCCCTTTAGTCAGTTAGTTAGTTTCTTCCTTGATGGAAAGCTAATGAATCATTAGCATGTCTTATGGTGGAAAGAAGGATATTACATCGCCAGATAAAACAGCCCAGGATATTTAATTCAATAAACAAATAATGAGTTTGTCTCAATTTGTATTATACATTTTTAAATGACAATCTTTGATATCGTTTTGTTTTGTAGTAACATGTTATGACTAGGTTAAAATCGTTCGATAAATGTATTTGTTTTTAAATTTGCTCATCAATTCATTTTTTTTATATCACAAATGACTTTGTGACGGATTTATTGGACGGATTTGATTTTTTTATTATGTGAAGCTTACTTTCTCTATGGGGGCTAAAGGGCTGTAAAAAGAAGTAAAATTATAACTCATATTTATGCTAAAACCCAACTAAATATATTAACCCTACACCGCACGATTATTTTTACTAACTTAACCCATTAGCGCCTAGCGTTGCCATATTTTTTTTAAAAAACTCCGGCGTTATTGGGTTAAATAATGTAACCACATTGTATGAGAACAAAAATTCTTGGAAAAATAGTGAAAAAAATATTTTGAATGGCTGCGTGGCCTGTTGATGATACGAAATTAACCAGAACTTTGCGTCAATGTAATGTAAATATGTGATCATATTGAAAAACATATACCAGCTGTGTAAATATAACAACAAGGTTAACTGCAAAATATATTTCGTTTTAACTGTTTCGGTCGAAATAATTTAAGTCCATAGACAAGAGACAAGGAAGTCACATCAATACAGTTAAACAAGCTGATCATATTCTAAAAGTTTAATAAATTCTGCATATATTACTTTAAGTAAGTAACACTATCAAGGTATAAACGATTTAATTAAGCGTGTAATAATAATATAATATAGGCTTATTTTAAAATAAATTAATTTTAAATACGTACTTTAGACACAACATTTTTATTTTATTTTTTGTATCCAAAATATATATTATGTCTAAGTTATTGTATACTTTTAATAGTATGATAATTTACTATCAAATTTCATAGAACACGCAATGCTACATTTTTAATTTGTTTGCCGTTCGACTTTACATGTACTATTGGAAAATATATTATTTTCATACTTTTTATAACGCTTATAATTTTATTTGTAAACATAATTGTTAAATGAATAAAAAGTTATTCTATTTTTATTATAACATATACATTTTTGCTTTACATCAATAGCCAAGTTTGAACACTTTAAAATTAGGTACACAAAAATGTATTTAAAATATATTCCAACATAGATTTTTTATAAAACGTTAACAACTTGGTTAAATAACTTTTTATAATTTGAATTTTAAATAGTGTAAACTAGCTATTTTACATAATTCAATTTAAACAGTTAACAGATCTTTATTTTCCAAATACATCAAACTGCATATTTTGTGCATCTGTATTAGGTTTTACTAATTGCAATTTTGGTCCTATAAATGTATGTAAATAACAGTTATTTTCTCTTAACTTTACCAAACATAACATAAAGGATAATTGAACTATGGATATAATTTTAGAAAGTGAGTAGCATACCTCGGAACATGACTGGTGTCCATTTTTAGTAAAATATACTTTATTTCAAAAGTTGGGAGGGGTAAGAACAAAAATAAATGTGAAAAATTGTGATCCCGTTGTAAAAAAAGAATATGAAAAAAAAAAATTGTCTCAGTATAAACCCTATGAGATATTGAGTGGTTCACGATAAAATGAACACTTATATTTATCAAATAAAAAACATCTTAGTAATACTAAAACCTTTTCATCTCTGACAGCGACTGTGACCAATATAAATTACTTTATGTTTATTATTTTTTTTACAGATAAAAATGAAACTTTTTTGGTTTTTAATATCATGTGTTTTTGTGAATATTTCAACATATGATATAAGTAATTACATTATTTACACACTAACCTACTTAAGGTAGTTGAAATTAAAAAAAAAAAAATCAACATTTCATTTTGTTTACAGACGATTATAAAAGGGATATGGCCATTACAAGTCAGTAACTTTTGTTTAATAAGAAAAAAGTTTTAAAACTTTACTGTTTTTAATTTTTATATAATTATATATTTTAAACTATGTACTACAGATGAACACATCAAGCTAGCTTCTGACATGTTTATTATAACAGATAATTTTAATGAATGTAAGATCTATATAAAATTAATTTTCTAACATATTACTGTTTTGTTATCAAATTGTTTTTAATACAAATTTGTCTGATTGTCGAGTTATACATAAATTAAAGATTATTGTTTCTAAAAAAAGTTCAGAAAATGCACGAGGTACAGAATTTTTGATCTAAACACTGTGTGTCTTACGAACTTTATATATACCAAATATTTTATAATTATATTTAAAATAATAGTTTCTATAAATTAATACGCTTGGCTTTATGCAGTGACTACTCAACTTAATAGGGGGAGTAGCGGTAGATGAAATAGTTATTACTTAAAGCAAGATTTAAGCAAGTGGTTATTCTGATGACTTACAAATTTATTTTGATTTTGTTCATAACATTTTTTGTTGCTCTAACTTAATTTGTTTATTTCAGGCGGCTTGGAGCATATAATTAAAAACATTATTGGAAATAATAATTATAGTTTGGGTACTTATAATTATATAATAAAAAAAAAATAAAAATATGAAAGTAGAAAAAGATATTTAAAAATTATATAAATAGTGATAAGTGATATAAATTATACTATTTTCTCTGGAATTTCAATGATAAGAAAAATTATGCTAGCTCTGTCAGTCTTATCTAATAATTATATTTTATTCTAATAGCCACTTCTGCTTCATTCGAGCATTTTTGTTTTCATAAATTTTCATCTATTTTATATGATTTCTTCCGAGTTATTAATACTTATATATTTTCGATCTTATAATTTTCTTACGGTTTTAACATAATATAAAATTAAACCCATCATTATTAATGTACGCAATGTTAAATTTAGGAGTTTTGAATAATATGATCGCTGTACCGGGTAATAATTACCAATAAAGATAATAGAAATTTTTCCACGCAATAGTTTTATGTTCATTAATAACACAATGTTTTTGTTTTTATTTCAGACACTCCACACCTTGGTGACTTCGAGGGTAACCACATATTTTTATTCTATTTAAACAATATTTTACATATTATATTGAAATATTCATTATTTATACATGGTAAGATGAATCATATATATTCTTACATATTGGTTGCAAACAATAAGAAATATGTACATTCAATTTACACAAACTCCTTATAAAAACATATGGAGAATAATCAAAATATATATACATTCATATTGATGTCAAGCATAAGATATTGATAAATTAAAATGTATATTGTGAAATTTTCAGAAAGTGTAAGAGATCAAACCGTTTTGCGAGAAAAAATACAATATGAATTATGTAAATATAAAATTTCACATTTTTAAGAAAACATTTTCAAAATTATAAATTATTCCTTAATTCCAAAGAAATTATTTTTAGGCATAAGCCTTTGTTAACCATTCGAAATGTAATTTAAAAGTTGCCAATAGAAGTAAATTAATACTATTACAATTTTTTGCATTCATTTTTTGCCCAATTAATCTCAGTATTAGAGTGACTGTTGTTTAATATTTGATACAATTGTTACAGATATCCCTGTTCCTGAAGTTCCGGAACAAAGTAATTTTTCGATATTCATAAATAGCGTTTAGGGCTTGAAATTTGCTTTATTTTGTTTCAATACTTAAAGTCAAACAAATAATTTTAATTATATAAAATTGCAGTTGGGGAGAGAGTGGGACTTCATACCCATTTACAGTGATATTTTGTGATGTCATGTTTATAAATGAACTTTTCTTTACACATTTTTAATTTAATAATACAATTTTATGTCGATAACAAAATATAGAATGCATAGAAAAATACGGCGTTTCTAAAAATAGTGTACTCAACCTATTCATGATTTTTAAAATTATATTTCATGAAACTATGATTCTGTTATCCAAACCTTATGAAGGTAAACTAATTTTTTCAAAAATTCCAATGAAACTAAAATGTAAGTTTTACATGAATAAAGTATAATAGTTGGGATCCAGCCGAGGGATAAGGAGAAAAAGTCATTGTGTATTTTTAAATATACACAAAAAATAGTTCAATTATGCTTAAATAGTGTGATTATTTATTTATTATTTTGCATGTATAAAAATAAAGAAAAACTTTTTTGAATAATTATTATTCTTATAGTATTATATAAAATTAATTTTTTGTATCCTAAAAATAATAATAACTATTAGTATTAATATTATAATAATAATTATTTTTTATCAACACAGTTTATTATTTTTTTCAGATTATAAAACACTAACTTTGATACATCTTGGAGATCAGAGGAGAAAATATACAAGACCAGTTTTAATAAATATATTCCACCAGGTTATAGGTGAATTTTAATATAGAGGTGTAATGGGTTTTGACCATATATTATACATTTATATGTTTACATATAAATATTGAATAAATAAATAAATACATTATTTCATGTACTTAAAAGGGATACCCATATTTTCGTCCGGGGTAATCTCTGAAACTATTAAAGGGATTTACATGCAGTTTTTGTAATTTGTATATAACAATATTTTAGAGAACAACATAGCAAAGTTGTTATTGCACCTCTTTCCCTTGTCCATCTACAATTTTATATCACAAGGAATAACTACAGTATTATTGTAGTTACACAATATCGAGTTACACAAAATATTAATTATTATTCCAAAATACTTTTGATCTTAGTCATCTATAATTAATTTTAGATTAATTTATAACATTTTACTCCCGTATTGTTTACTGTATTCAAATTACAGAACACAAAATACTATTGTTTTGTGTAAATAGAATTTGACTAGACTATTTACCTAATACATAATAATTTTTAACATTGTGATTAGAATTATTTGTCTCCGCTTATGCGATGCGATTTAACGTCATTTCTTCATAACGTATTTAAGAGGGATATTCCACAACAATAAATCATGAACCAATTTTAATTTTTAGCTGTAAACACAATAAGAGATAACTAGAACACAAAGTTGTAATATCTAGTAACTACTGTCTACTAACACATACTTCCATATGATACAAATAGCTGCTCAATAAAAATACCATGTAGTATTTTATTTTCAAGAACCGTAGTTGTGTCTTGCTACTGAAAATTAGTAACTAGAGGCTAAGTTTGGCAAATTAAAAAAAAATATATTTAAAATTTTTCAGTTGGATTTAAAGAGCAATTTCCTTCAGTGTGGATATGTCGTTTGATAGCATTGTTTACGAGTACGAAATTCCCAATGTCATATGTGAGAGATATTCACACTGGCCCTAATAAGTGTACCACATATGATGGGTTTTCATTGCAAACGTACAGACAAATTGAAGGTGAATGGTATCATTTCGTCAACAATATTAATTTTATGAAACTTGAGGAAGAGTTTGTTTATTGATGTATTTATACTTAGTAATAGTATAACATAATTTAGACCATGAATGAATGGTATAACTTTTCTACAATGATATATTACTATTGTTGTTTTATTTAGATAATAGTTACATTATGCATTAATATCCAAGTTGTTAATTTACAATTTAATGTAATTCAAAATAAACAGTCTTAGCCACGATTATAATATCATTTGTTTATTATGTATTGATTTAAACCATAGTCGTATTTTTATCATACTATTTTACAGATCAAATTAAAACATTTTTTTTAAAATAAAAGTGTATCTATTCTCTGCAAAAAGTTAAAAACAATAATATGAACTTGCGTTCACAATCAATATGAACACAATTATATAAAATAAAACGCACATAGATATTACATTCCAACTATGTGAGATCTACCTTTCAAGATCTAATCGGTACTGCCTAATGTACCTACTCACTGTAATCATGTTAATGTCTGCACTTTGTCTATAAACATAAATAAACTAATCATTTATTAATAGCCAAATCGGTCGTGGAAAGTTAGAAATACAATTTAAGAAAAAAAAATATACCAAAAATGGTTAGTTTTCCCTCGAAGGGAAATATTGGATCATGAACGTGTCTTATGGTGGAAAGAAAGAATTTTAATTAACAGATTTATTTAGCAGTTCAAATTGCCAAGGATATTTAATCCAATAAACAAATGACGAGTTCATTTAAATGTTTACTATACATATTTAAGTTATACTCAGTACCTCGGCCGCCGATTAATGTAGAAGTAAGACGGTTAGCACATATAGCATAATATACGGTTTCACTAGAAACGGTTGTACGACTTTTTTACTTTGAAGTCTTTATGGATGTATAATTTTTTCTATGAAAAAAAAAACAGTATTATATTCTATTGTTGTATTATTGTATTGTTCTACGTGTTTCAAGTCATAACTGATAACTAATAGTTGATAAAAAATTCATCCGCCAATATTACTTTGATTACATAAAGGGATATAAATTGACAACCATTGAAGTGTAATAAAAGAGAAACGTGTGGCACATATTTTTTTTGACAGCCCTCCCACCTTCTCATCGTTAGACTGTAATATTATGATTATAGCTGTTTACGCAGTTGCTACAACAGCGACGTGCTCATAACCGATTTGTTCGATTTTACAAGTAGAATTTTACAAGTATTTTACAAGTATTTTACAAGTAGAAAATAATATTTGAAAACAATATACAAATTGCCATATAAAATTTAATATAATGTAACCTTTAATATAAAGAAAACCATAGTTATTTTCTCTGCTACCCGGCAAAAACATAAAATCAGAGATATGTTTGAGCATTACGGTCCGTATAACCATCATGATTTTTTTTATGAGGTACAATTATATGTATAAAAAATTTAATAAGATGTTCTTGTATTTTGGCCACAAAAAAATATAAAAATTTACGTCATCTAAAACTTGACCGCTAGATCACACCACATGCACAAATATTGCTATTTGTTAACTCCTGTACAAGCGTTTTGACCGATGACGTGGACTTGGCCACTCTCGTGTTCTCCAGCAGGTTGGCCTAAGCCTCCGCCTGGATCAGACTCTTTAGAGCCGCCGCTTTGTCCGTTATGCCCTTGAAAATCTCCTTAATGAAGTTCTTCTTATGATTTTGGTTTGCCTTGGCTGACTCCATTAATCAGTCAAGTGCGCTCGTTATCTTGCAATAAGTGTCGGTCCTTGTGGTCCTTGACTTCTTATTAACTACTGCTAAGTCCGTCAAAAAGGAGGAGGAGGAGCTCCGCTCATCCGTCTCCTGATTTCTCTTGGCTGTAACATAACTTTTTCGACAGACATTACACTACTTTCGCTGTCCGCGATAGACATTTTAATGTTTTCGTATATAAAACGGTCCTCGGATGAACATAAGCTACTATTATTTGAATAAAATAGTAGTTTTCGTGGATAAATCGGTCTTAGAGTGGTCCTAGGGCCTCAAAACCCTCTCTAGCAGGTAACCCTACCACCACCATCGATTCCCCTTGTCGGGTTGCCCAAAATACGTCTCCTTCTCTGAAATAACAACTCTATTCGCGGTTGCCAAATTGATAGCCGGCAGTCGGTGGCCGTTGCTAGGCATATCAACACATTGATTTTGGCTGTGAAAATTTTCCAAATTTGCCTTTTCAGGGCTCTAACCCGGCAAGGAGTGCAGCTAGAGAGACGCTTAACCTCGCGGTGAAATCGCTGTGTCACGGATTATCTGCTGATACTTAACGCGTCGGGATTCAGTGTGTTATTCGTACGGAAAAACGACTTGTACTCACTCACACACACACACACTTATCTTTATAATTTTAAAACATGAATTTTGTACCGATAAATCGGCATAGACCAAAATTTAATGAAAATTATTTTATGCAAAACACTAAGAGAAAAAAATCAGTCAGTGAAAATATAAATATGTAAGAATGTGTTGAAATATGTTGTCATGAAGAAAAAAAGAAACCACCTGTGTAAACTAACAAACGTACACTGCAAAATAAATATATTTCGATTTTAATGATTCCGTCGAAATGAGTCCATAGACAAAAGGCAAGAAAGTCACATCAATACTGTTAAAACCACTGATCGTTTTCTTAAAATTTTAATAATTTATGTAAGTAACACTATCCAGACTTAAGAGTTTCGTGTACGCTAGTAGTTATATAGTCATAGTTGTGCAAATTCTTATTTGAATAAAATGTATTTCGTATCATTATTTCACAATTTTTTCGACTATTAAGTTATTTGAATTAAAATGTTTTAATAATAAATACAGTAAAAATAAAACCCAAGATATGTTTTTGAAATAAAATACATTTTTGAAAAATAATGATAATTACAATACATTATACCATCTATTTATTTAAGAGTGTGGTATAAACAATTATTACCCAAACGCTTAAAGGAATTTATTATAATTTTTTAACGACGTTTACCAAAACATCGCTTAAAATAACTTATATAAGCTTTAAATTTATTATTTTTTACAGATAAACATGAAACTCTTTTGGTTTTTAGTATTATGTGTCATTGTAAATGTTTCAACAGATGAATTACTAAGTAACCGTTTTATTTTCATACTTATGTATTTTATTTAGATAATAAATTATAAAAATTTAGTTTTTTCCATTTCTATTTTAATTCGACACTAGGATAGTAGATTTTAAAAAGTCAGTATTTTTATTTTTATTTCAGGGGAATATAAAAGATCCGTCTCCATTACAAGTCAGTTAATTTTTTTTTTTTATAAAAATAACGTTTTCAAATTAAAAATTGTAATATTTGTATACCTACATGTTTTTTTAAATTATGTATTATAGACATACACATATACCTTGCTAGTAGAATGACTGTCACACGAAATCGTATGGTGACAAGTACGATATATTTACAATTAATTTACTAATACATTATTGTTTTGTTATGTTTGACTGATAGTCGAGGTATTAAAAAATTAAAAATTATAGTTTCTAAAAGCAGTTCAGAAAATTGCACGAGGTATATAAAACCAATTTTCTAAACACTGGTCTGTCTTTCTATATATATAAATATCAAATAATATATATTTATAATTAGTAGTAGTATAGAGGTTTTTATAATTAAGTACAATTAGGTTAAAGGCAGTGACCATTCAATCTAATAGGGAGAGTAGCAGTAGGGTAAATTGTCATTACATAATTTATTGTGTAAGCAAGTGCTTATTCTGATAATTTGTAAATTTATTTAGATTTTGTTTAAACATTTTTTTGTTTATTTCAGATGGATTGGAGCATGTAATTGACAAAATTGTTGGGAATAATTTTTTTAGTTTGGGTAGATATAATTATATATTGAAAAAAAAATAAAGATAAAAGTAGAAAACATTTTTTTTTTATAATTATATACAATTTGCAACTCAAATTCATTTCTATGCATATTTATAAGTTGTACAATTTATGCATTTCTTTCTAAATTCGGAATTGAATTTTTATGAAGAAAATAATAATAGTTGTCAAATTCATCTAATAATTAAATTTTATTCTAATCGTCACATCTGCTTTAATTTGGTCATTATATTTTCTATTAAATGTAATCGAGCCAAGGAGATTTCTTCCACGTTACTAATACAAATATTTTTTTTCTACTTTAAACATTTTTTTTTTAGTTTATAGTAGAATAGAAAATTAAATCCACGATCATTATGATATGAAATTTTCATTTTAGAAATGATGAATAATATGTTCGCTGTACCGGGTAATATTTTTAAAGAATATAATAAAATCAATTCCATAAAGTTGTTTAATATATTTTATTGAGTACACAATGTTTTTGTTTTATTTTCAGACTTTCATTACCTTAGAGACTGGAATTGTAACTACAAATTTATATATCATATTCACAGTAACTTACACAAATTAATTTTATTTTATACATATTATGGAGGATAATCATAATATTAATACAAAATAAATACATTCATACATATTGGTTTGAATCACAAGAAATTAATAATTACAATTTTTTTTATCTAAATTTACAGTGTGCAGGAATATTCAAGCTTATTTACGAAGGGCAATATGTGATCACCTAGGTAAATATAAAATTTAACACTGTTAAGCGAACATTTTCAAATTCTTTAATTTTTAAGAAGAACAATATATTTTATATTGAAGTTCTATCATATTATCGCTTACTGAATAAGCCTCTGTTAACCATTCGAAATATAATTTAAACATTTATTGAAACGTTGATTTAAGAAATAATTTTATAGTTGTTATAGACTGTATAGTATTAATTTAACAATTATTATAAACTATGTAGACAATTTTCCTTTGATATATTTGTTACAGATGTTACATATCCTGAGGTTCCAGACCCAGGTAATTATGAATTTGTTGATCATCGTAAATAGCCTTTAAAATAGAAATTTACTTTATTTCGTTTTAATATCAAAAGTCAAACAATCATTTGATCAAATGAACTTTTAGTTAGAGAGATAGAGAATGACACTTCATTTCCAAATTTGTCTTAACTTAATATTAAAATTGTATGTCAATAATAAAATGCAACATGCATAGCAGAATACAGCGGAGCGTCCCTAAGAATAGTTTATTCAACCAATTAATGTTTTTCTAAATTATCATTAATAAAAGCTCCGTTTTTTAAACTCGATTAAAGGA